AGGGTCGAATGTTCGAATGGTCGAAGCAGTGCGCAGAAGCTTTCAATCACTTACGCGAATCTCTCTGTACGGCCCCTTTGCTAATACTTCCCGATTTTCCCCGTCTGCTGGCTAGTTTATCTTGGACACTGATGCGAGTGGTAAGACGATTGGAGCGGTGTTATCACAACTGGGATCGGATGGTGTCGAACGAGTCGTGGCATATTATATTCGCAGTCTTAGCTCGAGGGAGCGAAATTACAGCACGACTAGGAAAGAGATGTTGGCATTGGTATATTTCGTCAAACAAAACCGACACTATCTATTAGGTCGAAAGTTTCTGGTCCGCACAGACCACCAGTCACTTCGGTGGCTGCAGAATTTTTAAGACCCCGAAGGCCAAATCGCGCGTTGGCAAGAGCAGTTGCAGGAATATGACTTTGAGTGCAGATATAGCCCCGGTAAGCAACACGTTAATGCTGATGCATTGTCACGAATTCCCCATCGTAACCATGGAGAGTGCCTTTCGTGTAATACGCAACACGTAGCAATCGTCAATCTTCAAGGGGCAGAGTATGGTCGGTGGCAAACGGCACAGGCGAACGATCCCGATACCGCATTGATCTACGAGAGGCGTCTTAATGACAGCGACAAACCAACGAGTAAAGAGATGAAAGAGAAAAGTTAAGAAGCTCGTTGCCTTTGGGCCATGTGGGATTACCTGACCACCGAAGAAGGGGTTTTGTTTTTCAATTTCGGACCGACGTACACGAGAAGAATCATCGTCCCGCACTCTATGCTTAGGGAAGTACTGAGCGATTTACACAAGGAAATGGAACATGCAGGGATCAATAAAATGGACGAAGCGGTTCAACGACGTTTCTGGTGGCCCCATCAACGGAGAGATGTGATTAACTACTGTCAAGCTTGCGAAGAATGTGATGCCTTTAAATCCCTCGTATCGTTCACCGTGCACCCTTGCAGCCCTTGGTGGCCGGCGATCCTAATGAGATAGTAGGAGTGGAACTCACAGACCCTTTACCAGAGATGCCACGAGGTAATCGCTTTATTTTGATCATGATCAATTACTTTACTAAGTGGTGCGAGGCTATACCAGTAGGACAGGCGGATACGTCTACTGTTGCAACAGCTTTGGTAAATCATTGGGTCTGCCACTGGGGTGCACCAGGGCAGCTACATTTGGATAAAGGATCGTGCTTCGACAGCTCACTGGTAATTGAATTTTGTCGGTTACTAGGGATAGACAAAACTCGAACCACAGCGTATCATCCTCAAGGAAATGGGCAAGTGGAAAGAACAAATCGTTCTCTTAAATCTTTGCTGAAGGCCTTCGCGGACAGGAATATCAATGAGTGGGACAATGTGTTGCCCAGATGCCTACTTGCATACAGGAGCACAATACACTCATCGATGGGACAGACACCATACCTTATGTGGAAGGGAAGAGAGGCACGATTACCTTCGGTTCTACGTCTACCGATGACGCAACAGCTACAGTCATCGGTTGTGGAATATGTTAGCAAGTTGTTAGACTCCCTTTGGCAGTCTCATCAGTCAGCACGAGTGAATTTAGGGAATGCACACCGGCGTCATAAGGAATATTACGACAAGAAGGTATTTGGTGTACCCCTGAAAGCTGGTGCTTTAGTTTGGTTACACCAGCCTCAAGCATCAGGAGTGCCGGCAAAGTTTCACAGAGAGTGGACGGGTCCATATACGGTAGAACGAGTGGCCTCTGAGGCCACCTGCATGACAAAGGATCGTAACAACCCTAATATTCAACCTATAGTTGTTCATTTCAATCGCCCCAAACCTGTAGACGAGACGATGAGTCAGTTGAGTCAGAGAGGGCAGATTCACCACCAGTGGTCGCTCGTGAACTTGAAGTAAAAACTGGGGGGGGGGCTACGGGGTAGCACCGGGGACGGCGCTCGAAGGAGGGAGGGTGTAGTGTAGTGTGGAACGGAAACTGTCGTGGCGCGCTGCTTGACTTTGAACTGGTGCTCACGCTACGCTCTCATTTGTCTTGCAGGAACCTCGTCGTGCGCTCTAGCGGAAGAAGTGCAAGCAGAAGAAGGTTGACTGTGACGTTTATCTTCTTTTTTATAACACTATTTCCTCTATTGTAGTTTGCTACCTGTTGCTCAATAAATCTCCAGTTCCAATCTCCGGAGTTCTCCCGAGCTTGTATACCACAATGGAATATTTTGGCACCGCCGCCACCAAGCAGTAGATAAATGTTATTATACGGCAGAACAGGTGTTATAGCACTTGGACAAATTAGAGCCTTAAGTTATCGCATCTGTTTTTATCTCCTCCACCTTCTGTAGTAGCAATTTGTTGACCGCAGTTAGAGTAGCCTGTTCACTAGGATTTCCGATCCAATTCCACGAAACATAGTCACTAACCGTCCCAAGCTGCGGGCCAGCTCCAATGCGAAGCACATCCTGGACTTCACTACGTGCCAGGTTCTTCATGATTCGTTTACATAATTAAGTTGCAGAGCAATGCCCGCTTGCTTTCGTTTGTCGAGTCTTCAGGTATTTTGCGGCAAAATCCCCATTTATGCAATCAAGCGTTACTTGCGAGCAGCTTCTCCCTACCTTAGTGAGTCAATTGATTATTAACCCAAGAACCGGATGACCTTACATATTGCTTTCATTTTCGACGAGACGAGATAATTTCACGGTATATATGTAAACAGTTCATGAGAATAACCGAAATAACAGAATTCCGTTTCAGCTGTGAAAATATTCTCTTCTCCAATTTTTAAGTTTGTGTGCGGAATATCTTGCATGAATTATCCGGCCGGTCTAAATGTTTGGCTCCAATGTAGGCGCATAGAGAAAACACACGGGGCCATTTTTTCACTTTTTTCGTTGTTCTCCTCTACGCTTTTGCGGCCACGCTCACCTCGCAGATCCCTTGTCCCCAAAGAACTCAAGGAATAAAATAAGCTAAACTGTAATCTTTCCTTATTGGTTCACCTTACCTTCTCAATCGTTTGGCCATTTCCAAGTTAAGGCACAAGCATACACATGGAAGACGAGTATTAGAAAGAAACGGAGCTTCTATCTCCAAACTTGTTACTACCGTTGCGTTAAATTGTACTCGGAATCGCTATATGAAGGATTCTAGTAGAAGTAAATTTAGTGAAGTTTTCTGGCTGTACCTTTATCTTATGGCTATTAGTTAAATCATACTACGGGATTTAGCGTGCACGTATACATCCATGTTCATCTCTTTCCCTGTAATTGCCAACATTTCAAGTAGTTGCGCAACTAATTACATTATTTTCCACACGTTACAACTCTACAGACGAACCGCACAAGCTTAGGGCGAGACTAATGTTCAGGTATAACGATGCTTGGCTCAAAATCCTTAGAAAGTGCTTGAAAGTTGTCATAGCTTTTTATAAGTTTTAACTAACTTTGCGGACATATCGATATAGGAGACATATACAACCTGCAGTTTTTCCGTTATCTTCAAGCCTTCCTTCCACATAATATACCATGGATGATATCTCCGAACGCAATAAACGTAACCTGAGCATTTTAGACCTTTCTCGTCTTTATGAAAGAAAACAAATTATGTTATAAAGAAGTTAAAACCGACATCGGTAATGCTCATCTTTTTATAGACATGTGCTATACCACTTAATCCCTGTAATTATTAATATTTAATAAGCTAATGGGACAGCATGACATCTGACCAAATTGACAGCTAATTGCGTGCAACAGTAAAAAGACTATGGGATTGAAACTGTGGATTTGTGGATTGCGAATTGTGTGTCCAGAATTGTCTTCATTTTCACATACTTATAAATTGAGGGCAGAATTTACGATTCTAATCGTCTTCCACTTGTAAGCTGGGCAACGAAAACCTGCAATATTTTCCGTGGAATTGGTCACTCTGTAAATCTTCATGAGAAACACACATGCTAGCACCAACTATAAATCTAAACAAAAATGGCATCACAGTATTGGGCTCTTACAGAATGTTTCTGATCTCTTGAGCACATTTATTTTCAGCCCCTAACTTTTTCGCTGTATGAAAACAGTTGTGTGTAAAACATGAGGTTCAGATATGGCAGCCGTGACAGAGGCGTGATTTCACCATCCACAGTTCAAATACCTCAAATAGCTGATCCATTTATTTTTGTATTTTTGTTATTTGCTTTAAGCACAGCGACTGATTTCGCCAGGAGATTTTGGTAGATGCCATTACCGTTTCTGGGGTAAATTTATGGTTGATTAACAGATGTTAATCATCTATAATCCCGCGTGATATCAAGTGTTAACTAAGCGCCGTAAAAATAAACTTAGGTGCGAAGATCAACGACTGGATAAAAATACGGCTGCTTGCATAATCTACAAAATTGTGTCTCCCTATGCGTTTGACCCACCTGGTTTCTCCTACTATATCAGTTTCTTAGCCAGTATGTTAGCTGCGTACAGTTTTGAAAGTACGATGGTCACGTTATATCGCATTAAATAACAAGCATGACGTATACAAATGTCAAGAAAACGAAACGCATATCCCCACGCAATATTTGGTGGAAAAACTAGTCATTATATGCATATAAGCGATAAGGAGCCTTGGACTACGAGAAAAATTCCACCGGCAAATTTATTTTTAATTCTGGTCATCATTTGGAGTTGTTTTCTGTCTAAGACAACTATCCAATCTCTAAGTCTGATATATAATATATATTAAGCTTCAAATATTACATTCCTAATTATCCACAAAGTTTTAGCATTAAACATTGAATTTTCAAAGATTCACAACAGCGTATTGGCATGGTATGAGCCACTGCGTGTTAAATGAAACTTTTGATCGACCGATTTATATGGCAGATTGGCAGATCCATGTTCATCATCCAAAAAGTTGACATATTTGCATGGAAAATGCGACAGGTGCAAATGACGCAAATAAATAGTAAACGGTTTACACGAAGGACAACTCGCAACTGCTGTTTAGATTAAGCGATGCAGGTGAACTTAAAGACACTTACCCTCTGAATAAGAGGCATTAATATTTGTCCGCGCTACTTCACTAACTATCCCTGTGTACACAACCATCATTGTATTGCTAGTTGAGACAATGCCGTTTTGAGGAAATCTTTCGTATTGAGAAAGCTCTGTCAGTATATTGCCTCCACAGTTGCTTCCGTCTAACACGCGCAACCGAGATCTGTAGGAAGGCATCTGTTGAGAAGAACATTGTTATTATTCATTCAAGAGTTGGCAACTAGTGCAATTTAAAGAAAGCAACATAAATCAGTTCCATTACTGGCCAAATAATTAGATGCAGCATTTGAAAATATGTTCTAACATTGTGACAGACTTAAGTTATACAATTTAGGTGTGAATCACTCTCGTATCGGATGTATAATTTGGTGCTTTATGTTAACTGGGATTTTTCACCCCAGTTTGTCGCACCTCTTCGGAATTATGCTCATTCGATTCTTATCGCCGGGCTCTATTCAACAAGACCTATGTTTTGGCTTCAGGTTCAACGACACGCAGCACACAAACAACGTCTTCGGTAAATCCTTCTTTTATACCTACACGTGCAACCTTGCTTTTGATTTCCTTCATTGTGGTTGTGAATTGCTTTGACAGAATTCTTTAAAGGTTATTGACAATATATAATATACAGATGCGCAGCACGATACAGCGTAGCTGTTGTTTGCTTTGTACCTTTGCATCTAACACTGGGATAAATCTTCCGTTTTCCTGCATGTTCTTATGATTGGATCTACTGGTGCTACAAGTGACGCATCAATAACAAACCCGCTGGCACGGCGACAATCCCGGCTGACTGGGGTAGACTAACTTCCTTAACAATTGGTGTGACCAGAGTGCATACGAAGCATTGGCCCATAGGCATGAGAGGTTGTTGCCCAGAACACCAGTGGACTACAAGCCCACTTTCAAAGGTATTTCAACAGGCTACCAAAATATTTACTCACTGGATCAAGTGGTCGCAAATAGTTAATTCCTAGTATGAAACAAAGCTAAAATTATACACATAGAGCAGCGTACTGACAACTCTTCCTTGGGGCTCATGACCCTAAGATCAAGCTCGTGGATCCGTTATTCCTTCGTCTGCGTACTTTTTCTTCGTGTCCAGTTTCAAAACTTCGATATTTCTGTCACATGATTCAAATTTATGTTGTTAATTTGCGTGTGAACAGATAACATGAAATGGTTCCATCTCGCAATACCATTCTTCTCATTGTCTTATTTAGAATGATAAACGGAACTCAGTGTTTTATACTCGGTAGTTCTTTGATACACGTTCAGATAGTCCAATGTTTATGATTGGTCAAAACTCTTATAACGAGCTGCGAAATGATGGCATGTTTACCAGCCAAGCAAAATGAACATACAGTGGTAGTGGAAATGAAATTTGCTGAACTCGATTTCCAGAGTAGTGTATAACGTATCTCTAACCATATAATTGTTAAATGAGAGAAATACACAAGCCAAAAGTTCACACAGTCTGGTGAAGAACGAAAGTCATTACGACGAATCAGCTTTGGCTGCAAGAAGATTGAACGGTCTCCAATGCCTTAGTAAATTTTATGTGGCAATAAGTGAAATACCGAAGTTGGAGTAACACCTCAGTTATTCGATGGGCAAAAACAACTGACCACTGAAGATGGCATGACTAACACCTTTGCACATAAATTTCTTGCGTACGACTTCATCTGTTTTCACAATATATACCACACAGCAAATGTCAACAAAAGACGATACAGGTAATGTGTCCAAATGTCCCAGCACCCATTAGAAAATTTTCAATTAGCAGAAAAGCTGAGGAGTAAAACCACTGGATTAAGATTAGCTTCCAACGCGGAATAGCCGTCCTTCTAGTCTTACTCATCTTTTGCGAAATCCATCAGCAACACAAGTATCGGAATATCGGCTAATGCCAGAAACCCTTAGCTTAACGGAAGACCTGGATGATCTTCCCTTACCAATCCTCAATCTGTTAGTCCTTGGATTTTTCCGGACAAGCCATAGGCAGAAATGTGGAAGCTGAAATCTGAGGCGAGTGCGCCACGTCAAAATAAAAAGGAAGTTAAACTGGTTCATGGTTTACCGGCGTTAAAGCATGCCGACAATCAGAAACTCAAAACACGACAGTGAATAAGGGAAGCACATCACAAATTGCTGTGACATGCAAAACCGTGTGGTCTCCTACGTCAACCATCTTGTTGCCTCCAAATCTACCCCGGTAGCGGGTCAAAATTTTAGGCGGTACTTCGGCTATGCCCGCGGTGGTGTCATTAGAGTTACAAACGTGACACGACCACAACAAGAGAAGTGGGCCACCAGAGTAAGGTTAAATTCATTCTTTAAAACAGTAACGACCTTAATCTCTGAAGAGGCAGATGCGTCAGATCAGCCAACCGCGAATATAAGGTACCCAAATTGTATCGGTCAAAGTGAACCAACTTCTTAATACGTCAAGGCTTTTAATACTGCCACGCGAACGCTCCAGGGCTCTAATCTATGCTTCCAATACTGGGTCATTGACATGAATCGACTTCTTGTTAGTCATAGAAAGGCATGTAAAGTGGCTTTCAAGCGGCAAATTTATCCAGGAGTTAAACTCAGTTGAAAGGATCGTAAATATTTCGGCGGGGATATTGTGTCTACTACCGAGCGTACCTGAAATTCGAGGCCCATATCAAGCACTTCCTTTTTATTCCCGTCGCAATATTTTGTCCACAGCAACTGGTAGGTCGTGTTGGTTTATCTCAGAAGAAGAGGGGTCTACAGTCTCCAGATGGTTCTCGCATACAGCGATGAAATTTATGTCACACGCTGTCCTACATGCCGCTTCCAAACATTACTCCTGTTTTCTTGTAAAGTTGCAACTTCAACGTATTATCAATAGTATTGGCATCCCTCTGTGGGTTAGCAGTCAAATCAAAACTAGTTGAGTTTATTACTACGAAAATGCTGTATAATGAAAAACGTCAATTAACCGGACCCAGCGGTTCAAACAACCCATCACTTACTTAATTTTGACTAACGCCCAGTGGTTTAGTGAGTCAGTCACATGCGATCCTCTACCTGGTAGAAGCGACCGTTCAGTTCTAACGTATGACCATTTGAATTATGCTAGTATGGTTACTAATGAACGTACCAGCTCCGAACAATCTCCGCAAGGTGCAACTTCTGACCGTGCGCCGCCGCTTTATCAGCGCATATCTACTAAGAAGCATGTCATGAAACCAATATACAGTGCAAGTGACGTAGGCACTATCGCACAAGAATATCTTGACAATCAGCTTTGATGTGCGAAAGCAGCCGATTTATGTATCGTGATTTTTGAAGAAAACTGTCGGCAAATTTGTGCGCCGGTTATTGCCCTTGTTGAGTAACTAGTAGATTCGTCTACGTCTTTGAATATACAGAGTATAAATGAAAGCCTTTGATAAAACAATACACTCGTGTCTTGAAGCAGCGTCAAAGACTAGCCACCAAGGACAAAAGTAGACTATCCATTCCCATTTATAAACTACGCCTATATTAGGTTGCTGTGTTCTCCACGAAATACTTACGGCTCCCTGAAGCCCGCTGTCTAACATACCGCTGAGTAACTGAAAGCCATATAGTTCAGTGTTGTACCTGCCCCTTCAAACAATGCCAAGGCCACCGCCTGAGGCAGTTAACGTAACACTCCATTTCGGCTCAGTGAAAATATGTACACTCTTGTTGTACCCGTGTGATGAATACACAAAATTTCGCAACTTTCGGGGACACTAGACTTATAAATAAATGAAAAATGCTACTCAAAATATGTGCAAAATACCTAGACAGTTGATATTTGTGTTTTTACGCTGGAGTGCTCTGATTTATATATGTATATATATTTGTCATATTCTGTGTCTTGTGCGGTTGATTTTTTCTCAGCATGCATCAGTAAACAATTAAATGGACTCATTGGAATATAACTGTTAGTGATGTTGTCCGTGTTGGCAGTCGCAGAAACATCGTAGCTAGGTTGCAGTCTGTTTGATGCATGAAAAGGCAAGTGCAGTTCCACTTGAGTTCATGAGCTCGTAGGTTTGATAGATTCCCACCGGTAACCGAATCGAGGTTTTACATTTCAAATGCCAGATTTGCAACGCAATCAACTCACAGTTAGAGTGTTTGCAAAGAGCTGCACTTTTCCTCCTGGCTTTACCGTGATTCGCCAAACGCAGACTACTGGATATGATGGCTTTTGCCGGAACGATAAAATTCCATTTGACCCACTCAACTCTCCTCCGCAGTGAGCTGCAACAGTAGATATAATGTTAAGCGGTGTTACCAATGCGCCCTCATACGTTTAAAAACTAGTTTGAGGCACAATATGCCACCGAAATTACGTAGGGAATTGATGATTTCAACCTGTTTTTACTAACAGCTTCCCTTAGAAACTTCCAGAAATTTTTTAACCGTTATTTTGGCAATCATGTATTCGCATCGGCGGTATGAAGGTTACCTATATTTGCGTAATTCACAGCGGAATTAAATGATCACTAACAGGAAAGAAGCCAATGTGATCAATCACCACTACTGAGTAGACAAGTGGCATTGACTCAGCAAATCAGATGGAATAAAATTTAACGTATCTTTAACTAAACTTTACAAGTTGTATCAAAAGTCACAGTCTAACAAGGATGACGTGATAGCATGTTGCAAGACAATCGGCCGCTTTTTATGGTTGGGTTGTAGAGAAGGAACCCACGCGCTGTTTAGCGTTATGTATGGTGTTGCCAAGTGTGACGGAACTGCATGAGCGTGCTCATGCTGAGATGCATTTCACAATGACAGAATAATTCCACGGTTTGAAAAATCACATTAGGAGTAACTAAAGCTTATATAGCATGCAGAGTATATTGCAACCAGGATTGTCACTTATATGCACCTCGATGCCATCACCGAAGACACAAACGTATCTACTGCGTTTGTTGCTGACGTATTGATGAAAATATTGGGGGATCTCCGACTCAAGGATTGTCACATAGCACTCGCAAAATAGACTGAGAGCACATGGAATACGTTGTGGTAAGCAAGGGTGCGGGCATGCGTATGGTTTGTGGTGGTATGGAACTGAATGTACATATTGGCACCTCGACCATCGCCATCATCAATGACCGTGTAAGGAGTTAACATTGCTTTGGAAACCGTGCTGCACAGTGCATTGTAAACTTGGGTTAACTAACCTTGAGGAGTTCGCGGAGCTGATGCATCTGTGGAAAGACGAATAATGCTTCAGTAATCCCATTGTGAATGCATTTAGCTATAATGCAAGAATATCATCTCAATCACGAACATGTGAACTGTCGTCTAATCTACCAAATATCACCGGCGTTTTCCTGCAAACGTTGGTGATTGGGCGGCTTTAAATGGTCATAGACAGACAACCGGATTAGTCATGACTAAACTATAGTGTATGAGTCAGCTATCTTTTCCAGACAAAATTATTCTTAATCCACATTTGAAAGATAGCAGCTCAATTCCCAACATCGCGCGGACCTAAATCACCCAAAACGCAAAGTGGTTTCTGTCTGCTCGGTGGACAGGACCTACTCAGCTTTACGATTGGACGTTTGACAAAATATAATCTAACAACTAGTTCGTATAGATAGGTCCGTGTTGTTTATGATTCCATTGGCTAAGCGATGATGTAATGCATGAAGTTTGACAGAAAGAATCAGTTGATCATGGTTTTCGTATGTTACAGTATGCGTCAGTTAATTCGATATTTGAGCGATTCCAATGCAAAATATGGAAACTGTACCAATGTGTCTCGTAACATATCTCCATGGATATTATGCTGCCATACGCTTGCAGGAAAAAGATGTTAAAGTATTTTCTAGTAAAGACGGCGTTTCGAACCATTCAGCATGTTCAGCGACTCGCAGCTATTATATGTCACCTGTGAGAAAAACTATGCGGTTTAATAAAGGAATTAATTTGTCGCGTGATTCGTTAACTACCTGGCGCATGCTTCCTCATCAAATGCCTTCATCAGAATCTTTATGCGATGCTATTAGACGCGTTTAGCAATCCATCATATAAGAATTTAACCGTAAAAGCCCCTCGAACATAGCCAGGTCGATATTATTATACTGCTTATCAAGTTTGCTGACAGAAAAGTGGCATAAGGAGAAAACCATTTACTTTGGATAATTTTGTTCATTGTTACTCGTAAAGCTGTCAACAAGCTAACTTACTCATTCCAGAAACTGAAATAATAAAGATGTGAACCAGGGAAATGTAAAAGGTTGTCTCATTTTACCATGTATCATTGAAATGGACGTTTGTATTCCGATACTGATCAAACTCTACTGTCGATAAATATTTGGCTTTTGGGATTTTTATTATATGTGCAATCTTCAAAACACATTCACGACACAGAATTGTGGAGAAAAAGTGCAAACGCAACCTATATTCCTCAGATCCATATTTTACAAATCAGTGTGCTCACGTCAGCACATGATATTCCTTGCCAGAAATGGCTTACAAAAATTTCTTTGTTCCACTTATGGCTCAGTAAAGGATACAATGCTGATTTCTTCTCAAACACATGACGCCTGTTCTTATTCACGGAAACAATTTACTTCATTCTACACCATTGTTTCCCAAGTGTTCACCCAGCTGACCGTATCCAAACTTCTTCTTCTTTCAGATCAGATTATGAACAGATCATGTTTTTGTAGACTTGGCATGTATTGGAACAATAAAGAATCATTTTACTTATTAGACAGTGTCCTACATGCTATGTAGCTTTAAGACAACCGAACTTTTCACCCCATAATTACATTTCTAGAAAAATTGCTTAAGTGTCAATTCATGGTTTCAAAGTTATCGCGCGAATTCCTGTGAGCGCATCATCAGACAATGCATAATTCAATTTCCCGTCTGCAGTATCTAGCTGAATTCTTTGGTTGACAAATTTAGTAAGCTCATATACGATTAAAACACTACGCTTGATCAAGTTTGGCTATATCAATTAACACTGCGGAACTACTATAAAAGAGCATCAATGAAACTTTACAAGTTACAAGGAAAATACAAATTGTTGCCAAAGCAAATTATCTGTCAATTGGTGCATCATAGTTTTTGCATCGACTAAGATAAGTGGCAGAGTTCGCAAAATGAAATTGTGATGCAACAAACTCCGAAAATACACATAGTCAACTGACGACTGCTTGGATGATATAGATATCGTACTACCAACAGACGTATGTAGGAGATGATTGGGGGTCGTTTGGAGTTCTTGATGCATGACTGAGGCATTTATGGAAAAGTTTGGTAACGATAAATTCTACGATACCTTCTTTGTTAAATCAGGCACTGTAAGAATGCATTCTGAGTGCAAAGTAGGTTTCAATACATGGGAAGATTCTGTGGAAAAAGGCAGGATCTTTTTAACCTGTGATGGAGAACACGCATATTTACAACCCTTGGATTATTTAAATTTTATGTATAGATTATTTGGAGACCAGAATAAATTGTAAACTGTGAAAACGGCAGCGGAACAAAAACTTCCTTAATCACTCAAGACCAAATGGGGTAATGTATTTACAAGGGAAGAGTCCAACAAGAATTAAAAAAGAGTACATGCTATCAAAATGATTGAAAAATAAAGGAAGAGTGACGTGGCGCTTGCGGATTTCATGAATTCATCTAATCCTCTTTGGATTTCGTAAGCATTTTCTATTACTGTGTTACACTACTTGGACGATGGCATCAGCGTATTTACGTTCGATGAAACTGGATCTTATGGCGTGACATTCAAGTTAAAGCGCAACTAGAAAGGGGAATTCACCCTAATCGGTTGGGATTACGGGTGAACTTTTGCCACACAGTTACGCAATTTCTGTGCCATTTGTGAAATAGTCGAGCTTACCCGTTCATACCCATAGGGGAATACCAGTTCAGTGCAAAAGAGCTACTAGCAAGTGTCTGTGATTGCATACAAATATATTGGGGTGATGGTTATTTTGTCCAACACCGACATTGGAATGCACAAGGAGCAAAATGGCATGCAATATATACCACCCCGATTTATGGGCACACTGTTTGGATTTATCAGTATAATCGCTTGTGTAAGTGCGGGATATTAGTAATATTTTAAGTATTTTCAAAATTACAGGTACACATTATTGACCGACAATTCTGGAATTCGATCCTATGCGCTGGAGTTATTCTGGCTACTTTCCGGATCACCGGATGGCGCCGGATATCAACTATTTTTTAAAGATCACTGTCGGAAGTGGCTTTGATGCATCCATACATTATCCAAGAGCTTTTGCTATCAACACATTAGAGTCACTATTCTTGTTTGCTCTAGGTTTGTAACTTAGATGCAAACATGGTGTTGTCAAGAAAGTTCGGAGGATCAGTGATGGGTTTGTCCAAATCCACAGTGCCGAAATGGCTACAAACATTTCCAAGGATATTTTATATGAGCGCCTCCACGGATAAAGGAAAATGCGCTTACCCAAAATGGTTTTAGTATACATGCCTTTTAACCTTCCTAGCTAAACTTTATAGTAGCAGACAGACAGGCGACACTGGCAGTTATTTTACCTTTATAAGGAGGCGCATTTTTCTTACATGCTTGTTGGTGTAGTGGTGATTAAAATTGGTTAATCCGTATGTAGATTGTCTCCATTGCGCTACACAGCTTGCAGCAGAGATTATTATAGTCCGTGATTTGATCGCATTTTACTGACTAGACCTCATTTGTGGAAATTGTGTGGTCGGTTGAATAACGCATCTATAATACTTCGCATCTTAACGGTTTTGTATGGCATTTGTCATCACAATGCTATTTGCCTTTTATAAGTCCTCGGGCATGATTTTCCATGTAATATTCCAAATTAGAGATGGGGTCTATTTTTTGGAAAACAAGCTACATTTGTCGGCAAATCCTGATGTCTCAGTTGCGAACCGACGACCATTTTCGATAAGACTCAGTAGACAGCACATTTACAAGCAGGTGTAAATCAACTAAGTGTGCTAGTGAAAGCGGCACTAAGGTTAATAATGAAGGTGATTGGAACAAAACTGGTCAAATCAAGCAATATTAACATCCAGCCATTCAAGGCAGGTATCAAGACAGCTAGTGGGATAAAGAATATTCTTGTTTTCTTCCAGCGTCTGATGCGAATGATTTCCAACCCTGCATGTTACAAGGATGGCTTGGACAAGAGCCCTCTGTTTACACAATTCCGGCTGAGTCAGCCTGGTCGCAACCGCATCAGCCGTCTTCAAACTTC